CCATCAGGGATGCCAGTTGCTGGCACAATCTGCAATGACCGAAGTAAAATATTATTACGTATCAACTAATGTAGTAAAACAAAATCATAGAGATCACCAGTTTGTGGAATGATGGTTACTATCAGACTCAGTTTTAATCAAACAAAATGATAGGTTTTCCATTGCCAGTGAAGGGACCTAAAGATTTTGAATGCCAAAAGTAATAAAACTTGAGCAAAATGAAATTCCAACTGGAGCTCAAGGAACGAACCTTGCTGTTTGCATCAGGAGCAAACTTGTCGGCAATTACCACATCAGTGGGTAACAGGAGATAATCCCTTGGCCTTGCCAAGGAGTGAAGTTGATCTAAAAACAGAACCATGTCACTTAGAACTAAAATAATTAGAAAAAGAATAGCCACAGAACCATGTCAAATTTGCCTTCATTTTCTTTCAATACTACAATAATAGATCCTAATGTTCAGAAAACCAAATTCAAGTATAAATTGAAACGAAAGAATACAAGTTCCGAGCAAACAAATTGAAGAAACACAATCTCTCGAATCAATGTCATGCCTAAACAAACAAAAAATAATAAAAAAAAATCAAGTTCAAAGATTTATGTATCAAACTGAAAACAAAAAGGAATCTGAAATTTACAATAGATCTATGTGAATCACAACAAACAACAACAGATCTTCACAACTGTAAATTTACAAGAAATAAACTAAAAACGAATGAATCGAAGACATAAAAACATCATCGGTTTCGTACACATTTTAGCTCAAATGAATAATCGATTAATCGATCAAACCTGGATACTGAAATCGTTGTCGAGGAGTCTCTGAGATTAGGGATTGAAATCAACAAACCACCGAGAACAATGAAATTAGGGATTTGATCGCGAGCGAGAGGGATTGAAATCAACAAACCACCGAGAACAATAAAATTAGGGCTTCGATGGAGAGAGAGAGCGAGAGAGACAGTGGTGTGGAGAAGGAAATGAGATCCGGACTATTGAAGTTGAAAGAATGAAATTAAAATAAAATAATATATGAGTTGTGTTTATCGGGGACGAATCAAAATTGTTGGCAAAAAGTCATTGACCTTTTGCAATCAAATAGTTTTGTCTTAAAAATATAATAATATGATTAAATTTTATTTTTTTAAAAATTGTCATTTTGTCTCTAAAAGTATAACTTTTACAAACAAATTATTTTTGTTCCTAAAAATTTGTCATTAAAACCTTAATTTCTTGTAGTGGTACTTAAGACTATTAATGTCTAATACAGGAAGGACAATTACATAGTTTGTAGTTGTATTATGCAAGTGGATTGAATACAATAATCAATTAAAAGCTCCCAATGAACCGCCTATATTGAAACAAATGAAATAGAAATATGTTCCAGTATTTGTATTCATCAGAATCACTAAGCCTATTTGGATCATGGATTTGCGCAGGTATTTGGGAAGGAAAAAAAAAAAGATCGCGGTTCTTACCTTATCAAGTGACTTAGCAAGCGCTCTCATGTCATAATTTGTATGTGCATAGGATACCAACTTCAGCCACACAACACACGCAAAGAGTATTAATGTGACGCCAGATAGAACAGCAGAATCATACCTACAAGATTTCAAACCACAGCCATGAACTCTTCAATGGCATCACATGAAGTAATGTGCCAGTTTTCTGGCTTGCTACAAACAATATATATTTTCTATTATTTCTAATTTCTCATTCTTTGTTGCACTCCCCTAGCACATCACCAATCTATTGGACAATAAAAGCCCAACAATCTATGCCCAAGATTTGTACGAAAAACCATCCATCCATCTGAGATGCCAAGACATTAACCAAAAAGGCTTGCATGAAGCCATTAAATCAAGCACAACTCATGGTTAAAGCTTCTATCAAAATTCTGCTATATATTGATTGTTTGCAAATTAGAAAGGAATGCTCATTCTTGCATTTAATTACATAAATCCTGCAATCTTTTGAGGAAAATGGTATCCTTACAAAATTTTCAAAAGGAATGTTGTGGTAGCATTTTGGAAAATATGTCACTTTGATGGGTCTTTTGTTTAAAATGATAAAATTAAGACTTACCACATCATTCTATATTAATCTTACATGCAAAATTTTGGTTTGCATATCACTACTCATCTTTTTAAGTCAAACAAATAACAGAGTTCAACTAGAATTTACTGACAAACATTCTTGGGTGAGAGTGACAAAAGACAAAGAATAGCATTGAACCGATTGCACAGCGTCAATCAAAGTTTAATGCAGCAAATTGCCAAGTGTTGTTTGCTTTTGTATTTTGATGCTAGAAATAAAACAAAATACCAAATGAAACTTTACAAGAAAGTAAGTGACAAACTAACATGAGGATCACAAAAACTGGAAACAAAACTGTAGCTGTCGTTATTAATATGTGAAGGCTGGCAACCACCTGCAATATTTTGATTGGAAGTGACCAACTCTAGAGTTCAAGGGCTTAAAACATCAATTCATAATCTCCAGTTATTATGGTAAGTTTACAAGCAACAACCAAAGAAACTCTGCGCATTTATGCAAAGTAGTTAGTGCTGAGGATGTTCTATCACTACAAGTCAGTCAGCCATAATAATGAGAAAAGCTACAAAACAAATGCATTAATGAAAAAACTTAGTGAAATATCGAGTACATTTCAAGATAATGAAAGGATTGTCTATCTAATTGTATAACTTCCAACAGAGAGCTTTCAGAGGTTGTAATCAATAAAAATCAAATAAAAGTTCCTAGACATGTCTACTCCCAACATTCAAAATTTGATAGTCGTTTCCATAATTACCATTCCAATGCGAAGTATTATACTTTTAGTCTTAGTCCATGAGGAAAACATGACAGCAAAACAAAATGGAAAATAATGAAACATGACAGCAGCAGGGAGTGGGGCACTTGTCTGTGGCACCTACATGTCAGGCAGCACAACAATTTCATGCATCTCACATGAAAATCTCAAATAATTTTTCAAAAGTGAAAAAGGGAGCAAGCACCAAAACCATGTACTAGGAAAACAACAAGCCAAAGAAAAAAGAAAGAAAAATAATATATTCAAAAAGCATGGACCTGCTATTCAACCTTATTTATGCTACGATGATTCAATATAAACACTTCTACATTTTCTAGAGGCTAAGCTCCCATATAAGAAGCCAAGTTTGGCAACAGACATTATAATATGAGTCATATGACTGAGATTAAGCATTACTTTTTGATTAATCTAAATAACCATTCTAGTTGACTAAATAGAACCGAACAAAAAAACAAAGTACACCCAGTTTAATCCCCCTTAGATGGGGGTCTAGGAGGGGTAAATTGAGTACAGACCTAACTTTTGGCATTATTATATATAAAGTGGCTACCCTCATGTTTGAACCCCCAACATAAGAACTTGAAACCTAACTCTAGCAATTTCTTTCAAACACAAATTGAGCACTTTTGAGGTAAAAAAGACATAATATACCATATCTGAACAGTGGTACACAGATCTCAACTTGTACATAAACCAAACAATTTGCATCAACTCACAGTTTTCTGCTCTCAAGGCAAAGTAAGGCCTGATCGTCTCATAAAATTGGATGCTTCGGATAATTGATCAAGACCTAAGTCATCAATGCCAATCAACAAACAGCTATCATAGTTTGCAATTTCTTGTAATAGGTTGCTTTGAGTAGTAATAGAACACATCTAAGTATTTAAGACCTGCTTGTCCTTTTGTGATTAAGCTCTCAAAACAATTGTAATAGTTAAGTACACTTAGAAGCAGTATACCAAGTTGAAATCACTATGCCATCTCATGAAGTAAAACTATACAAGGAAGTCTAGAAACAAATATAAAGAACAAGTTTCAAAGTTCTGGGCAGAGTTAGGCAGAGTTAATTCGATGTTTCAGTAACTAAGAAACAAAATAACATAAGAAAATTTGAAACACCTAAAAAAAGAAGATCTAAGACCCAATGCTATCACAATCACTACTCTTTACCTCCTCAAACTAATTGCTACCAATTCAAGTAGTTTAATATGACTTTAACGTCATGAACTACATTACAAAATTATAATTCAATATGACAACTTTTTGAACTAAACTACATTCATTTTACCACCAAAATAATTCAGTTTGTAGACCGTGTGTTCTAGACATTTTGTAATGTGAAATATTTAATTCAAAATGCATTAGTATTGTTTTACAATATTATATTGTAAAACTAATAAACAAAATTTAAAGTAGTTCTACAGGTTGCAACAACTCCCAAGTTATGCACTTTGGCATTAATCTTCCCCATCTGACAAAGGCACCATTATAGGTTTTTCTTTTTTTTTTTTTTTGTTACTTTACATATTCTCCATTTTCAATTTCCTCATATTTTATCCACTTCAAATGTCATACCCCTCACAAGGAACATACACCAAGAAAAAACATTCATTTGTTTGACATACTTCCCTTCAAAGTTATCTGTATCATAACCTATCATCCCTATATCATCTTTCACTCTTACCAATTTACCTTGTTGCACTTACAAATATCCAATCTTGAAGCCTTCAATGAATCCCAACAACCCCATATCTCACTATATGTTTGTATGAATGTCAATGGAGAGAACTTCGGTCATCCCGATTTCACAATTTGCACAAAATGGTTTTATTTAACCATCCATACCATTCAATCACATGTTACTCTAAACATTGTTTGGAAGCCAAAGAAAAAATAGTTGAAGGAACAAAATAGATAAAGGAACAAATAGTTAAAGAAAAAATAGTTAAAGGAACAAAATAGTTACTAGTAAAAGAAAAAATGTTTGTATGAATGTCAAAGGAAAAAATAATTACTATCAAGCCAAGCAAGCCTCCTGTGTATCTCTGCTAAGTCTATAAATCAAACTTAAATTCATTTTAAAACTCATTAAAATTTTAAATTATGTTATCGGTTTTCTCTTTTTTCTTGAGCAATTGCAAGGCTTCTTGCTTCCTTTTCTTTTTTGAGATTGGCAGACTCTTCCTCCTTCCTCTGCTTGTAAGCCTCCATTTCTTCCAAATACTTTTCCTTGTTTTGCTTTGCAATCTGCAAGTTCCCAAAATATGAAATTGCTGTTGCAGAGAGAGAGAGATTGAGAGAGAAAAAGTTAATTGAACCTTTTCATAAGGCTTCTTCTATTTCTATGTCATGTTATTCCATTCTCCACCTATGATCTCTCCAACCTGTCAACGATGCCAATTTTACAAATTAGCATATGATCAATAACAAGAATTCAAGAAATTGAACATGAGGCCTCTTCAATTACCTCCCAGACACCCTTGCTCTCTGCAAGCAGAGCTGCTCTTCGCTCATTTTTTAACATTAAAAACGCAGACATTGGTTGCTTCGGTTTCAATGGATCCTTTTCTTTCCTGTAGAAATTCAATGAGACAAAGATGAGAGAGAGAGAGAAGAAGAAGAAGAAGAAGTAGAAGAAGAGGGGAGAGAGAAATATAGAGAAAATTACTGAATTTACTCTTTCAACTGAAGATACTGCTCTTCCTCCAACAGCTTCATGGCTTCAGTTGTGAACGCCAAAAACGCAGACATTGGTTGCTGATCCTTTTCTTTCTTGCTCTTCCTCCAGTGATCTTTGAGCCATGTGATTTGAGGGCAACCTTTCTTCTGTCTTTCTTTTCTAGCTCTCTCTCTGTTCTGTTTTCAAGAAGATGTAGGAAAATTTAGGGGGAAAACTAAACCAAGAATCATCAATTCTGAACCATCAATCTGGGTTCAGTTTCTGAGAAAATGTAGGAAAATTACCCTTTCTAAACTTCCTTCATTTTTCCTACATTTTCTTGGCAACCAAACATCGTATTGAAGAAATGAAGATGGGGGAAAAAAAAAAAAAAAAAAAAGGAACCATGGTGGGTTTGAACTCTTTCATTTTCTGCAACTTCTTGAGCTCTTTCTGAAGCTTTTCTCGCTCTTTGCCCCTTGCTTCAAGCTCCTCCTCCTTCATCTTCAAAGTCTCCTCTCTTGCCTTCAATAGCTCCTCAGTTTGCTCCTTCTCGATCCTCAACTGTTGAAGCATTAATTGCAACTCCTTCTCAAAAGATTGATTTTGTTGTTGTTTCGCTTTCATCCCTGCTATCTTAGCTTTCTTGGCGGATTGAGGCTGTGAGAGGCTCTCATGGTTTTCAAAGGTGGTGGTGGTGGTGGTGGTGGTTGGGATGGTGGTGGTGGGGTCGGTGCAAAAGAGGCGGCGGAGGATGTTGGAGTACCAAAACGCAGCAAAAACCTTATTCATGTTTGAGAGAGAGAGAGAGAGAGAGAGAGACTGTGTGTAATGGCGTCAAACACTGTTGTGTGTTGTGAAAGAGAATTAGGTAAAAGGTGGTAGTGGTATCACCAAAAGGCAACGAAACTATACATGAATGAAGTGGTGCCATACGGAGGGAGAGTGATCCGCGGAGTATCCTAATTTTTTTGAAACAAATATCCTAATCTATCCTAATTTTCATAATTTGGATGATTCTTCTTTTAAAACTTATTAGTTAAAAAATTAGGATAAATTACACTGACACCATCTGAGCTTTGTATTTATTACAGTTCTCCCCCTACATTTGGAAAATTACACTGGCCCCCTGTTAATTTAATTTTATGTATGATGATCATTACGATGAGGGGGGACCTGTTATGCAACTTTAAATCTCAGGAGACAATCTGTAATGAAACTTTAAACCTCAGGAGACAATCTGTAAAGAAACTTTAAACCTCAGGGAGGGGATGTAATTTCCCAAAGGTGAGGGGGGAAGTTTCATTACAGATTCTTCCCCTCAGCAATTTAATTTTTTTAAATATCAATTTGGCCCTCACTGGGTAAACTACATTGACACCCCTCACATTTTAGAAATTACAATCCCCTCCCTAAGGTTTAAAGTACCATTACCAATTGCCCCCTCGGTTAGTATTAGTTAGAAAAAAAAAATTCACTAAAAAAAAAATTTAATTGGAAAAACAATTAATTGAAAAAAAAATTTGTTAGTAAAATTTTTAAATTTTTGTTTAAAAACAAACGTAAACTCATTTTTTGAATTTACATTTTTTCTTGGAGCGCAGCCCGCACCCCAAGACCGCAACAGGCTGGATGGGACTCCAACCAACGGTCCGCCCCAAGGTATAATCAACGTGATACATGGGATCGTCGAACCCGAGCAGGTATGTGAGCTCAAAGGGATGATTAAAAAAGCTGAGCACTTGAGAGAGGTACTAAGCACACAACCTATTGTCAAAAGGGGAAAAAAGAAGGCAACGAACGTCATCACCTTTTCGGACAAGGACTTAGCAAGGTTACAATGCCTCCACAACGACGCATTGGTGGTGACTTTGCGCGTCAAGAACTTTGACATCAAACGGATCCTAATTGACCAAGAGAGCTCGCATGATAATGTACTATGAAACCTTCAAGCAACTGAAATTGGAGGACAAAGACTTGGCACCTGCAACATCTCCCTTAGTCGGCTTCAACTCAATGCCAGAATGGCTGGTAGGCAAGTTAATTCTACTAGTCAAAATAGGAACGATGACGAAGCAAGTGGAATTCTGGGTACTGAAGGTCCCGTCCACTTATAACATGATACTGGGGAGCGTGGTTACATGCCATGCGAGCAGTAGCCTCGACCAACCATTAGGTATTGCGATTCCCTAACGAAGGCAAGGTAGTTGAAGAGGCCTTAGGAGACCAGATCATGTCCAAGCATGGCTTCGTGACGGTAAATGGCAGCCGGGCTGCAAAAGGGTTTGTACAAATGGTAGAGGAACCAGAAAGCAACGAACTGTTCGCAGACGTCGGCAAAACAGTCGAACAGAAGGTAATAGAAGGCTTGGTGGAGGTAAGGATGGATGAAAAGAACCCAGAAAAGTTCTTTTTGCTTGGCTCGTCTCTGTCCAGCACCAAGAGAATAGAGATCATGAAATTTTTGACCTCTAACATCGAAGTGTTCGCCTGGACGCCGTATGACATGCCTGGCTTTGACTCTAATTTCATCTGCCAGCAACTCAATGTCCATCCAACCGCCAGACCAATCATACAGCGAATTCGCCGATCGGCACTCTGTCACGCAGAAATAGTGGCGAAGGAAGTAAGAAACTTGTTGGAAGCAGGAGCAATCAGAGAAGTACACTATCCCAGATGGATTTCCAACACTGTAGTGGTGCCTAAAAAGAACGGCAAATGGCGCATGTGCGTGGACTATAAAACAATCAACAAAGCATGCCCAAAAGACAGCTTTCCCCTACCAAGAATTCACCAACTGGTGGACCTACCAACAGGGCATAACCGACTTAGCTTTCTTAATGCGTATCGCGGTTACCATCAGATCGCTATGTATGAACCGGATCAGGAGGTCACGTCATTTACAACACCCAGAGGACTATATTGCAACAAGGTCATGCCCTTTGGTCTAAAAAATGCAGGGGCAACATTCCAACGGATGATCACCAAAATGTTTGAACCATTGTTAGGCAGAACAACGGAAGCTTACATTGATAATATGGTGGTCAAAAGTAGAGATGAGAGGGACTATCTCAAGGACCTAGATGTAATGTTTAAAATTTTGAAGTCCCATAAGTTGTGTTTAAACACATCTAAATGCGCATTCGGCGTGGGGTCAAGCAAATTCCTGGGATTTCTAGTAACCAACCGGGGTATAGAAGCTGATCCCTCTCAAATCAAAACTATCCAAGATCTTAAGAGGCCCAACACAGTCAAAGAGGTACAAGATCTCACTGGCCTTGCAACCGCACTAAACCGGTTCATAAGTCGGTCATCAGACAGGTGTCGACCATTCTTCCAAGCACTAAAGGCCAAGTTTGAGTGGGATGACGAGTGCGACCGCGCCCTAGAAAGCCTCAAACACTACGTGACCTCTCCACCGTTGTTAGTAATCCCAATACTAGGAGAGGAGCTTTTTTTGTACTTAGCAGTTTCCCAACATGCAATTAGCACGGTGTTGGTAAGAGCTGAAGGAATACAACACCTACCTATCTTTTATGTGAGCAAGACATTGCTGGGCGCAGAAACAAGGTACCTTCCATTGGAAAAGCAGGCTTTAGCTTTGATGATGGCTTCAAGAAAATTGTCGCACTACTTCCATGCCCACACCGTGATTGTCTTAACAGCCTTCCCTTTAAGAGTCTTATTTGAGAGGGCGGATTTTTCTAGACGAATTCTGAAGTGGGTCGTAGAGTTGGGACAATTTCACATTAAGTTTCAACCAAGAACAACAATAAAGGCCCAAGTTTTGGCAGACTTCGTGGCCGAATATGCACCGAGAAACCATTATGTTTACCCAGTCGACTTGACCGAAGCAACTGAGACCAAAAGAAGAGGGGAAAGTGCCGCAGGAATAGTGCAGCCCCCAAAGTAGGACGCTCAACTGCATAGCAAGCCATTCAGTCTTGAAGAAAGGGAAGAAGGAACAGACCGCAGCACCGCCAGCAAGGACTCAACCAAAAATAAAGTCCTGAGTAAGGATCAAAGCCCAACGGCAAGCATTAACTTGGAAGAAGGCATCAGCATCGTCCCTAATCCCAAGACATTGTCAGATCCAGCAACTTGCTGAAAGCTTTTCGTCGAAGAGATGTGGAAACTCTTCGTGGACAGAGCATCCAACAGGTACGGTGCAGGACTAGACATAGTCCTCATCTCACCGGATGGCCTAACGATTGAACAAGAAGTCAACCTTGGTTTCCCAGCATCCAACAACGAAGTCGAGTATGAAGCATTGTTAGCAGGTTTAAAATCAGCACTTCGCATGAATGCCACCGAGCTAATGATGTACAGCGACTCCCAACTGGTAGTCAACCAGATCTCGGGCGATTGCGAAGCAAACGATGAGAGAATGGCTAAATACCAAGAGTTGGTAAGAAAGGAGATCATGAAATTTGAAGTAGTTCGGATAGAGCAAATCAGTCGAGAGGAAAATAGTAAAGCAGATAAGCTGGCCGGATTCGCGTCAATGGCAGATACATCTATCCCACACCCATTGTTGATTGACTTTCTACTCAAACCAAGTATAGAAAAGCCTGAAGCAGCTGAAGCATGTTATGCCGAGCTAGGCCCTTCTTGGATGGATCACATCACAGTGTTTTTAAAAGATGACACCTTGCCTAAAGAAAAGAAAGAAGCCAACAAAATTCGAGCAAAATCACAACGATTTTGGCTCTCCCCATCACTAGCATTGTACAAGAAATCTTTCACAAGACCTTACTTGAAGTGTGTTCATCCCAGCAAGGTCGAAGCGTTCTTGTTTGAAATACACAAAGGCGTTTGCGGAAGCCACCAAGAGGGAAGATTGCTGGCTTACCGAGCAATTTCACAAGGGTATTGATGGCCCTACATGCAAGCAAATTCAGAGAAATATGTCAAGAAGTGCGAGAAATGCTAGAAGTTCGCACACCAAATACATCATTCAGCCAGAAAACTCCTACCCTTGATCAGCCTGTGGCCCTTTCCAATGTGGGGCCTCGATATAGTGGGACCACTTCCAACCGCACCAGGCAACAGAAAGTTCTTTTTCGTAACAACGGACTACTTCACAAAGTGGGTGGAGTCAGAAGCACTCGCATCCATAAAAGAAAAAGACGCTAAGTTCATCTGGCAGAACATCATAACTCGGTTCGGCATACCCAAGGCTTTGATATCCGACAATGGGACTCAGTTTGATGGCAAAATCTTTAGGGGCTTTTGCGAAGAATACAAGATAGAATTATACAACTCTACACCGGCATACCCCAAAGCTAATGGCCAGGCTGAGGCTTCCAACAAAGTTGTCATAGACGGCCTGAAGAAGAGGCTGGGGAGAGCAAAAGGCAAGTGAGCTAAGGAGCTTCCCCATGTTTTATGGACCTACCGTACCACACCTCGGTGGTCAACTGGCGAAACACTTTTTCATTGGCCTATGGCATGGAGGCAGTAATCCCACTGGAAGTAGGCCTCCCCACAATTAGAAGTGAAATTTTTTATCCCAACTTGAATGGTGAGGCAATAGCCCTAGAACTCGACCTTGCAGAAGAAAGAAGAGAAAGGGCATTGGTGCACATTGCTTCTTATCAACAAGAGTTATCTAGAAAATACAACAAAACAGTGCATCCAAGGCAATTCAAGATTGGAGATTGGGTACTCCGCAAAGTAATGGGCAATACTTTGGTACCTGGAGATAGCAAGTTAGGGCCTCACAGGGAGGGACCATACAAAGTGATTGGTTTAGCAGAAAAATGGACATATTGCTTAGAAGATATGGACAGCAAAGCAATTCCCAGGCCATGGAACACGGCCAATCTCAAAGTATTTTATTTCTAGCTTTTTCTTAAAACACTTATGATTTTTTCTTTTTTAATAAAGCAAGTAGACTTTTTCCTAGTAAAATTCTTTCCTCTGTTTGTAAAAGTCGTTCATATTTATTTTCGACTGGAGGCAATCACTAAAGTCGGCAGGATTGACCGACACTTTGTTCTTCAACCGAGATGAGAATCTAGGCTCAAGAAGGTTGACAGGTTTGACCAACAAAAATTCTTTTTCCTTAGCCAAGATAAGAATCTAGGCTCAAGAAGGTTGGCAGGATTGACCAACACAAATTCTTCTTTCTTAGCCGAGATAAGGATCTAGGCTCAGGAAGGTTGAAAGGTTTGACCAACACTTTGTTCCTCAGCAGAGATAAGGATCTAGGCTCAGGAAGGTTGGCAGGTTTGACCAACACTTTGTTCTTCAGCCGAGATAAAGATCTAGGCTCAAGAAAGTTGGTAGGTTTGACCAACACTTTGTTCTTCAGCCGAGATAAAGATCTAGGCTCAAGAAAGTTGGTAGGTTTGACCAACACTTTGTTTTTCAGCCGAGATAAGGATCTAGGCTCAAGAACAAATGGCAGGTT